ATGTTCCATAAAGTTGTCGTGAACACTGAATTAGCAGATACTGAGCAGTTGTTCCTGGGGGAAATGCAGAGTTAGGTTCCTGAGAGCCTTTGGTCACATCATTTTCATCAACTGATCAATATATAACCTTTTTTATGTGTGTTTCTGTTTAAAGACACCTTATTAATATGTATTCTTGTTCTATATGCACTTTAAACAGTGAAATCACCAACAAAATTTCCTGCTACTTTGCGCAGGTCTGTGAGTGACTGCTAAAGGACTGGTATAAGTAAATTTGGGGGAGGGGTACAAGTAAATTTTAGCGAGTAGGCAAATTTGCAAATACACAGTCTGCAAATAACGAGGATCAACTGTATTTTGAAATGTGTTTTCAGTTGCATACGTGGATTAACTACATATTTTGGATCATATTTATTTTACTGTTTACTTTATTCTGAATATTAGTACAGTGCTCTGTGATATTCTAAAGAAAACTCATCATTGGGACTATGAAATTAGCCTTATTTTCCATTATAGTTCCTTTCTTTCTCTTGTAGTTCCTCCTTCCCTCCTTTTCCCATTATGTAGGGAAAGAGTTACGAGGTGTAGTTCTGGTGTTAACTTTCCTCTTACCTAAATGTGGGATCTTGAACAATGTATATGACCAAGCTAAGTTTTATTTCCTTACCAGTACAATGCTTGCATTGTGACAGATAGTCTTTAGGCTCTTTCTCAGCCTTATAACTCTGTTATTGCATATATGTGGACCTGGAAAATTTAGACACTAAAACAAATTATAATACTAAAGCAAAATGCATTTCAATAATCATAGTAAGACAAAAGTTCAGAATATGCAGATTTTAAAAAGCCCTGGAATTCATTGCAATTTATTCCTTAAAACACTAAATTTTTTACCTGAAAATTTTTTAATTATTAGAGTATAAATGAGTTACCTGGATAAAAACTGTCACACACAAGTAGAAAGCCTTATGTACACACAACAACCAGTTAAACAATATAACAAGAAAACATTCTCTTTATAATAAAAATAAAAATATTTTTTAAAATTAAAATTTCCAAGAAAGCTATAAGAATTATATGAAGCAAAAGAAGATTTGAATACATTGAAAGATATAACCTGCTATTGGCATTAAGCCATCAGGTTAATGAATTCAAATAGAAATTCCATATCCTAAAATTAATGTGGAAAAATAAATGTAAAAAAAGCCAGGAAATATTTGAAGAAGATAGTAATGATAGAGCACTAACTTTACCTATTATTAAAACATATTGCAAAGCTATGATAATTAAAACATGATGATACTAGAACATGATAGGCAGGAATATCTGTCCATTACGGAAGTATATAATAAATTTCTAATATTCTGGGTTACTTTTCTGTTTCTTCATGCATAAATAATTCCAAGAATCATGGTTATATATCATAATGTATAAGACCATTTAGCTATAGCTTAAGAATAAGAACACAAAACAATTGGTACTTCATGCTACCATTCTTCTCTGGTGAAATTGGATTTCTTTCTGGTCATTAAATAATTTTGCTATCCACAGGCCTTTTGTGGACATTTGGAGTTGGTGCACAAAGATGTAATTAGAAAGATGAGACTATATAATTCATTCTTCCTCTTTATTTATGAATTATCAATACATATAATAGGTTCAGCTGCTGTTCTAAGCTCTAAAGGTACAATAATAAAAAAATTACAAACTCTTTCCTAAATAAGCTCATAGGTCATAAGGGAGACTCAAGTTATACAAGTAACTAGTATTCAATACAGTAAGTATTGTATCAGCTTTATGAGGTTAAAAGAAGTAAAAGTTCTTTCTCTGAAAATTGGCACCATAAGAAAGAAGTGCTTCACAGGCAAAAACATTATCTGGGTCTCAAAAGCCTTTGAAAAATAAGTAGAATTTTGCCAAGAAGAAAGAGGAAAAAAGAAATCACTCAGAACAGAGGAGAAAATAGTTTTGAATGCATTCAAGCATGGAAAAACACCAAATCTGCAAGGAAGTCTTCATGATCCATTAAGACAAGAGTACAGGATACCTGAAGGAGAGCAGCACAAAATGCCTGGAAAGATAGATTGGGGACAAATTGTGAGGAATCTTTAATACCATACTGAGGGATTTGGTTGTTATTCTCTAGATAAAAGCAGACCATCAAAAGTCTTTCACAAGAGGGGCATATAAAATACAGATCCAAGACTCATTAGAAGAAATTCTATGAGAAATAGCTTAATATCTGATTTTATCTTGTGGGCACCAGAAGCTGTAAAAGTCAGACAGTCTGCCTTTCAACTACTTATATATCTGAAGGTGCTTTGTAACTCAAGGCAAAACATGAAGAAGAGTAAAAGATTGTTGACAGTGACTGAAAGCATTCTCTAACACAGTACTTCTGAAACCTGGATGCATGTTGGAGTCGTCAGGGAAACTGAAAAATGCTGATGGCTGGGTCTCACCCCTGTTGATTCGGATTTAATTGGTCTGGGAAGCAGTCTGGGCATTGAGAGTTTTTCAAAACTTGCAAAGTGATTCTAATATACATTCAAGTTCAAGAACTACTATACTAAAACAAGAACCTGTTGTTTCTGCAATTCTAGAAATTATTTTTCCCAAATTATATAACCTGCTGTATAATCTGAAATTTGGATGCCTCTTATGACACTAGTATCTGTTTCACTTGAAGTTTCTTTCTTCTTCTATCTAAAATGCTCTTATTAAATTTATGATACATCTTATAACTAATGGTGTCTTAGAAAGGAGGAGATGTATTATATAAAATGTAACTTACAAACAATGAAGTATAAAGTATATACAGTAGCTGGTGATAAACCAGTGTGACTGATTTGTTGTTTTTTTCTTTGTTTGCTTGTTATTCTGGTCAGCATCCTCTTCTTGCACTGAACTAGCCCCCATGCTGTTTTGCCTTTGGATGTCTACCTCTTGTTTTAGGCCACTTATTCCTACATACTTGCTCAACATGCAGTCTCTCATTTTTGAGTTTAATCAATTGTTTTCCATTGGTTTCTACGTAAGGTTTATCTTTCTTCCAGTATTCTCAAAAAATGCTGGCTGTAGTGGTGAAACTTTCAACTCTCACCTTAAGATACCATCTTTTTGTTTCCCTGGTTGTTGTCATTCCCTTTTAGTTTCACTCTGGTGGCGGTGATAGGTTTAAAATCCTTTTGGCTGAAAGAAATGCTTTCCAATTTGAAGCCATTGTTGAAAACAGATCCCTCATTCTTATAGTGTTATCTCTCTCTCTCTGTCTCTCTCTCTTTCCTTCCCTCTCCTCATTCCACCCTCCCTCCCTTTCTCCCTCTCTCTCAAACCACCCCCCTAACATGCACACTCACCAACCAAAATCTCAGAAATAGCTCAGAGGTCCACTGTGAAAGATGAAATGAAGGAGAAACTGAAGGTGGACTTCTAAAGTGAGAAATGATGAGAACTATAAAATTCCTAAGTACCCTAAGAATGTGCAGTGCCAGTGGGAGAAACGGAAAACAAGTCTGAGAGATATTTCAGAGTTGCTGTTAGAATTAGCAACTGAATGAATTTGTAATTTTTTTGTATATTTGTTTATTGTACTTTTTACCATTATTCCTGCTGTAATGTAAGCTCTATGGGCATAAGATCTTGGTTTTCTTGTTCACAATTGTGTCCCTACTGCCTAGCTCCTTTTCTTTTACATAGTAGATGTTTATTAAATATTTTCCAAATAACTGAATTAATGTGTGGAAGGAGTAGTAAGGGAGAATAAATTCTCAGATATGTGATTGCTAGCATGGTCCTAAATTCTCATTCAAACATTTAGTGATAAACGCTAACTAGTAATCGTGTTCACCAGGGAGATCGTGCTTAAATATTTGGGAAAATAATCCTAGGTATTTTTGTTAATGATAACCTCTGCATTAGTCAATAGTGTGAAATAGCTGCAGAAATGACTGCATTAGGTTATATTTATAGAAATTCCTGTTCAGTTCAAAGAAGACAGTGATTCCATTGTGCAGTATTATTTATTTACTGATGTGAACCACATATACTGAGAGTGACACCAGCAAATCAAAATGTATTCCATAGATGGCAACCAAAACATAGGCCGTGTGGTATGAGGAATGGTTCAATTGCTTGGGAAAGGATAGATGAAGACAAAAGTATAGTCATGAGCCTCATAGTGGCATTTTGGTCGACAACGGATCGTGTATCCGTTGGTGGTCCCATAAGATTAGTACTATATAGTCTAGGTATGTAGTAGGCTATACCATCTAGGTTTGTGTAAGTACACTCTATGATGTTCCCACAACGATGAAATCGCCTAACCACGCATTTCTTAGAATGTGTCCCCGTCGTTAAGTATTGCATGACTGTATAATACAGAGCAGGATTCAGGGGGCTGGATTCTAGACCTCGTTTTGACTATCCCATTCCATGGCCATGGGCAAGTCAATTCTCTTTTGGCCCCAGTTACCTCTTCTCTAAAGAAAGGGGAAAGTCTTAGTTACTCTCTAAGCTTTCTTCTAGCTCTTTTTAAAAATTTCAACATTCTGTGTGAACATGAGAATTATCTTCAAATAATGAAGAGCTATTCATATATAAAATGATACCAGTTTAGTTAGTTTTGTTTATCAAGGTAGAATTAGTCCTAACAGGAGATTTTAGTCCAACCTAGGGAATAGTTTTTAACCATCATATTAATGCAATAAGAAAAGGGCTTATTGTGTGAAGTAGTGACACTTCATCACTGTCGAGGATATCAGGTAGGGAAATTATTCATCAGGTTAGAAAGTGAACTTGATAATACCTTCCAACTATAGTATATTCTGCTTCTCCTGCCTAAGGTAGTCCAAAGGCATGGCCTCAAGCCCAGTGTTCTAGCAAGCTTGTATCCCAGTATATTAAATTCAGTAAGTTATTTTCTTTCATCATGAAGTAAGGAGGGTGGGAAGCATGGAACACCAAAACTTCTTCTCTTTGATTCCCTCTATCACGTTCAGCAGGTTCAAGGTCAACTGCCGCCATTAATGATTCCCGTATTCCCTCCTGATCAACGGACGCTGGCTGCAGCTGCCCAGCAAGGATTCCTCCTTCCTCCAGGCTTCAGCTATAAGGCTGGATGTAGTAAGTACCACTGATTTTTCACTTGGGAGTGGGTGGAGGGCATGGCTTTAAATTAGGCAATCTAATATTCTTGCCACACCAAGAAATGAGATCACCCATATAGCATTTTTATTTTAAATAGGAAACGCTCAGAAGGTGTAGAAAGAATTTATGTGGGTAAAGCCAATATTTGCTCTTTATAATTCAGTTTCATAACTTCTGTTTCCAGTGTATTCTTAAAATATGAATATAATTTTAGGGTTCAATTTATTTTTGCATAGACAGTATAGGAATATGCTTTCAACAGCTTTCCGTTACCTTTTAAGATAAACCCAAGTTTCCTAATGTGAATTAGTTGGCCTTCCGTTATCCAACTCCTCTCTATATTTACAGCCTAATTTCTCACTAGTCTTGTTTTATTTCTTACACCAAACCATACTCTTTCTTGACTCTGGCCTTGTATTGTCAGTTCATTCTTCTTGGTATTCGGAACCTCTTCCACCTAAAATCAGGGAGAGCTTGCCTGACCTAGTTAGATCCCTTTCTCCTGGTTCCTTTGGATCCTGTATATTTTCTCTTTCACTTTAATTGTAAGCTCTATGAGGGCAGGTGCCGATTCTGTCTTATTCATTGTTATGTCTAAACTTTTAGTGTAACATTCAGCTATTTGTTAAATGAATGAGCACTCATGACAAACAATACAAGGGCATTTTTGCATTGAGTGATGTGTTATACCAAAATAACTGTTTATATTGCTTATTAACTTTAGATGCCTGTGATTTTATGATTTTTTTCTTTTTTTACCAACATTGAAATTTTACATTGTTAGTTTTAGAAATAATCTAATATTTAATCTCCTAAAATTTAAATAGCTAAAGTACCAACTAATAAAAATAGTAACAAATTCTGAAGAGGGGCTAGACTACTAAGCTAAATACCTTCTAGAACATCATTACCATGGCCAGAAAGAACATAGAGAAAGCAAATTTATTGAAACATTTTCATTGATGAAAGTAAAACACCATTGAAAACAACTAGTGAAATATTGTCATTGTAGATATTTATATAGAATATTTTTTCATAAATTCCAGTAGATTTTGGTTCATTTATATGTGAATAAATTGTCCCGTTAGCATTTTGCAATGATTCAGTACTTTTGCATTTGAGAAACGATCTAGCATTACTAGAAATCTGATCTAAGTTTCCTGTTAAGTGATGTTTTGAATTTTCACGTTGTAACATGTATTCCTAGTCTTTGAACTTTTCTCAATTTAATATTGAAAAAAGGAGACATAATTCTTTAAATATACAAAGAGATTTGAGATGAGTAGATTGTAATTATGGAGCTTAGATAAAAGTGAACTTGACTCAGGACTATAAAAATTCACGCTTGTGTGGTATTTTGCCCTTTGTGGTTTTTACACTGCTTTTGCACATCTTTCTCTTGACTTTGAACTCCTGTGTTTTAAGATGGTGTTCTCATTCTGGATCCTTAATTTATTCATTTAATATTATTTGCCACATCATTCTATCTTTGTGGATCCATTCATCCAGAAACACCAACTTTTTTTATGATTAAGGACTATATTTATATTCTAAGTATTTAAATTCTAAGAATAATTTAAATTCTAAGAATAGAATTTTAAATTTTATTGCTACACTAGATTCTTGAGTTTTTAATCATAAAAGATTTTTTATTTTGTTTTGTTTCCATTTTCCTAAGGAATTACTATTCACATTAAACACATGTTGCCAATGTGTTTTTGGTAACCTTGGTTACTAAAATGAAAAAAAAAAAAGACACTTCTAAAAATCATCAGTTGCCTCAGACTGCACCTGCAATATATACATATAGATCAGTTCTGTTTTCCAAAAAGAAATTTTTTAAGCAACTGTAGAAATAAGTCCCATTAGCAAATATTGTGCTGAAGAGAAAACCACATTGAGTGTGAACAATAGCGTAACTGTAGGCCTGGAAAAGGTCAAGAACACCTCTCCCTCTCTCCCATTGGACAGAGTTGGCATACTACATTTGTTCAGTGTTACTGCAGTGTGGTGTGGAGAAATGTTTCCCTTTCTAAAATTGTTAGTATATTAACCATTTGATATTCCGTGCTTAAAGTTGTAAATGATACCACTTCTTTTGTAACCTTGGAAATAAAATAGAATAAAGCCTCTACAGCTGCTGGCAGGCTTGAAACTAGCATCATGCCAGACTCTAAAACTAAGAAGAAGCCAGTAGCAAAAGAAAGTGCCACCCTTGTTGGCGCTCTCGCACTTTGAGTCAGTTTGAATGAGGAGCTGGGTGGAAGTGATAAATAGTCCAGACTGTTTCCTCCCTAACCACGTTGCAGGAAAGGAATAGAGGTAGAGAAAGAAACAATTCTTGCCATCTTCTCTCTTCAGTGGGCCTTCCTATTTTATTCCCCCCATAATTGTCAACCATATGTGACTTCTCTGGTTGTCAATTTTTTTGAGTAATATTACATAATTCTCAACGAAAGAGACTCTGACTAACTTAACTTTGATTTGAGTTTCCAGTAAATATGAAAGATATACTATTTGTTGGTATCAAAAACTCAAATGCTTTTCATCAATTCATTCGTAGAAAGTATTGATGATAAATTTTCCTGTTAGACTATGTGTCTTAATAAAATAAATAAAATAAAAATCTCTGGAACTACACAAGAAAGTTAAAATGTTCTCAACAGGGGAAAAATAAAATAAAAACACAAGTTGAGGAACCGAACCATCATAGATTGAATTAACATCTCCTGTTTTCCAAAAAGGAAGCTTTTAGTGAACATAAAGGTATTTTTCCCTTTAAGAAATATAATGGTAGAAATATGGTGTGGGATGGAGACCTATGGAATGTAGTTGCTGGACTCTCTCGTAACTGCTCTAATGTACATCATTAAACTGTATAAGAATAAATTAATAGCAGCACAGCCAGAGACTTCAGAGCAAACTGGCTAGATAGAAAAGAAGCTTTAGAGAATGTTGTAGTCCACTCTTATCCATGAATATGTAGATCAATTTACAAATATTGATATATTATTATCAGAATCTCAGATTCTGTTTTGGCATTTGCTATTAATGAAAGCAAGTGTGAAACCACACTTCTTCATGGATCCATATCTAGTTATTGCTTTTCCTATCTATTTCTTAAAGTCTAAAAATAATTCCAGACTTCTAAGGAGGTAAAAATAATGGTGTATTATTAAATTGAATGCTTTTAATATATATAATAACTAGAAAACAATTATATGAAAACACTGGTTTAATCAGTCAACTCAATTCAGAGACCATTTCACTCAGGGAAAAAAAATTCATCAAATAATCTGTACTTTTAACTTGTCAGTTTTGTTAAAACTGTCAACTAAGTTGCTATATGTAAACACACCCCAGATTTTATATTGCATAATAAAAAAATCCCAATTTTAAATAATATTTGTGGGTACTAGCTCATTTTAATAAGAAAACAATCATTACAGTTCTTGAAATAAACTTGAAAAACTAAATAACTAAGGTTCCAATTGTGAATTATAAAATAAATGGGTGTACAAATGAATTGGTTCAAGTACACTTTGGATAATTGAAGAGTCCAAGGACACAGTCCATTTGCCTCTGCTGGAAAGTCTGAGTGGAATCCTAACCTCTTAATGAAGACTTCAACCTGTGGACTGCAAATCTTGTGTCAGGTAGATATTTTTGAAATAAAATGTACACACCTTTGACACCTGCAGAACAGTTTTATGTTTTCAGGAAGACACCACTGTTGTGTTTGTTCATCATAGAAAAAAAATCTACCAAAATTCAAAATAATTTTAAATGTGTATGTTGGTTTTAGCCCAGCATTTTAGGCTTGAGAGAGACTTTTGAGATAAGGTGGTTGAAGGTCATAAGTTGGGTCAGTACCCATTTTTCTGTCTCCTGCTTCTGCTTCTCTTTCCATCGCACACAGCTTCCCCCCAGCCCACCCTCAGCTTAAGTGCTGTTACTTTAGAGCACATATTTTACAGGCAGAAATGAAAGGAATAGGAGCTTCTCCTTCTACTAATGACTACAGTCTTCTGCCCCTCTCCTTTCTATCCGAGTGTAAAATTTCTAGTCATGTAATTCTGATAGATGCTTTAGAAATTTTTGACAGGAAGACATTTTATATGAAAATAAAAAAATCTACAGGAAGGCAAAATCCAATAAAATAACCCATTTTCTGTATGCAGGATAAAACAAACAGTTGTAAAAGAGTTGGCTTGATAGTTTAGCTCAAAGTGTGAAATTGAATGTGTCACATAGCTACAGAAATAGATCTTTCCCCATAGATGGGCACGTGCCTTGTGCTACAGTTCCCAAACTGTGTGCTCAGGTACCAAGGTGCTGTAGCTAATTCATGGGGCACACAGGATATTTTAAAATATCAAGGAAAATACAGAGGCATCTGTCAGGCACTACATAAACTACCTTATCTGTTTGGACCTTACTACTTAGTAAAATGGAGTGGTTGGATATTGCTTTTGTCCTAAGGGTGCCATGAAAAAAATTATTGAGCCAATGATGGTGCCTGAATCCAAGAAAGTTTAAGAATGTTTGGCCTAGTCTAGTATATATTCATTTAAAAAATTATTATGATCTTGTTACTGGAAAGTTATTGTTGTTGACCTACCATATGACAACCACAGAACAGAATATTATAAAAAAAATTTATCTTGCACTTACAGGGCTATGTACAATCTTATATACATAAGTAATTGGTTCATTTGTCTATACAAATTTGTTTGTCTATATGATTTCAAATATTCAGTTGGTTTGCTTGTTTTGATTTAATCAACCCAGTCTCAAATAGGCGACAGTAATTGAGAGGTACTTGGAATGAGTGGTCATGGATTTGGAATCAAGTTTTGCCTCATTCGGCTACTTTGATTATCCTTGTGCAAATGACTGAGTTTCCTCATCTACAACATGGATTAATAACACCAGTTTTACTGAATTGTTACAGAGCGTAAATAGGGTTATATATG